TACATCAGCAATACATTCCTTGTCTGCACCTAGGGTTTTCACGATTCATTTCTGCTACTTCAGATAATCTCCTTTATACACATGAATCAAAGCAGGTGAGAGAGAACCTCATTTTTTAAACGAGGTGCCTGCGGTCTCATAAAATTGGAATTGTGTATGTTGTTTGAAATACTTCCAGATCCACCCTACAGAGCTTTTCACTGGTGTTGTGCCTTTTCTGTGTCGTTGTACATGGACATTTTTGTTATGAGACAAAGTACACCGAGGTCTTTGATGTGACTGGCAGCTGCAAAGTGGTAGGGGTGCTTTTTGTCATGATGGCGTGACGTTTGCAAAGCAGTAGTGCCAACACCCTGCCAATGGGCAACACCTTCTCATGGACACCACAGCCTCCAGCTGTGGCCAAGGAGCAAAGATGCTTTAGAGTGATGCCTGTCCCCAGCTCCTTCCCTTGTCAATCAGCTCCCAGGCTGCAGCAGTTCGCTGTGTAGAGTTTGGAGTTAACCTGCATTGATTTTGGTCTGCCTTAAAATACTGCGCCATCAATCACGGTGTTTTAGGAGCTGGCTCTGGAGCCTCTCTGCAGTGGGGAGAGGTAGGTGGATCAGAGCTGTGGCTTCAGCAGCTAAACACCTAGTGTCTCATAGGAGTGCGTATGTATATGTATTTCTGTATATTGCCATAATGTGTTCAAGTTATATTTTTACAAGAAAACTTAAAAGTACTTTTGGAAATGCCATTCAAATTAAATCTACTGTCATAACTTCTATGCCATGTTTTTAAATTTTTGGTACATTTTTCACTTTATGCAGAAATTGTTACTAAATTTTACTCTCACTTGTGCATTTCAAAAGTTGTCTTTTATTGCTAGTCTACAGTAACAAAGACATTTAATCTGATTTGATATAAATATGCATCTGATTGACATCATAAACTGAGGGCCAAGCTGGCTTAGAGAAAGACAAGCCTGACAAAACTAATCTGCCCCAAGCTGTGATGCATCCCATCCCAAGACAGGTATTTAAGGTAGGTGAGATGAACTGATCTCTGGAATTGCTCATAGCTCTGTTTTTTCTTGAAGGAGGAGACCGGATGAGTAGTTTCGGCATGCTTATTGTGTCAGACAGCTGAGTGGGAGTGAAATTAACCCTAAGTTACTGCAGCAGGTACAATAAAATTACTAAAAGCCCTTATGTTCTAAACTGATTGATACTGGGGATCACAATTACCCCCTAAGAATTGCTTATTTTCAGTTCCAATTGCAATAGAGTTTTCTTGTGACTAGAACACACTACATTTTCCAGATTATCCAATCTGGATTGAAACCAAATCAAAAAACTTTTCTTGCAAGAATTTCATCTGCCTTTGATTATGTATGTATAATTATAACTATTTGGCTGAGTGTGTATGCTCCTGCTTTTTGATTTTCAGAGGAAAATCAGCCTTCAATTTAAGAATATTTTTCAAATATTATTCTGTGGAAAAAGGTAGCATTTACTTATATCCACAAGGTAGGTATCTAATTGTGTTGATGCAACAAGATGAAAAGGGCGTTCCGTAACATTCAGTACCCCCAGAATTTTTGGTTCAAGCATTAAACAAAAATCAGGATCCAGGTAGATTTTAAGCAGTAAAGGTCTTACAAAAACAAATGTTGATCTTTCTTCAGGAGGAAGTAGATATTTCATTTTTCCAACTTACCTATCAAACATTGTGTTTAATGACCATCAGAGCACAGATGGCTTGTGCAGCAGAGCGTGTAGCAGGCAACACACTGAAATCTAGAGTG